CGGTGATCCGGTGGCATTTCTAGTTCAATACAATACGCTGACTCCTGAGTCTGACTCCTGAGGGGCTTTTCAAATATGTACGGCATATTGAGTCCGCATACATACATACATGTCCCTACCTGTACGCCTACGACCCAACGTCTAATATGCTACGATCTTGGATTAGGCTCGCAAATAAATGAGCAGAGCAAAGCAAATTAAACTTAAAGTTAAAGGGTCCTCGTGCTTTTGCTTCTTGGAAGCCTCTTTCTGTGAGCTCACAATTAAAATGGCATCGTCTGCGGCGGCGCTTCTGGCTGGACAGCATGCAGGCGTTGCGGCTTCTCCTTGGCAGACAGAGAGGGTTATTGGTGCAGCAGGTACGATTGCTCTCTTGCTGAATTTTTCAATTAAAATTTCACGCAGAAATAGGTTCTGTTCTTTTTCGCAGGTGGTTGCAGGGGTTCTAGCAGGGATTGAGTACGAAACTGAGAGGAGAAAGCTATGTCCTCCCTGCCTTGCAACGTGCAAAAAGTTGACGGTAAATGCTCATGGGTTTTATGCGAGTACATCGCTTAGTATGTTGGCAGTAGAGCCATTAGAGACTTATTTGTACGCTCCACCCTTTTGTGAAATTCGCAACCGTATCATATCTCAAAGCTGTTCAACTCGTTGGCTTCTTTGCCTGAACACCTGTGTTGCACTACAGTGGCCAATATTGCAGGCTGGATCGCAGGGTGGCAAAACCACACCTGCCTTTTTCTTTTTTGGAGGAGTCCTGCCACTTTTCAGTGATTCAATTGCATTCTCTTCTTGAGTATTCACAAAAGAAGGTTTGCAGGGGCAATGCTTTGCATGATGTATTTTCCTCTGTTCAAGCTCACAATGATCACCGATGGTGTGAGTCGGTTTTCTGTGAGAAAACGCTGTCTGCTTCCTCAGACCATTACTGCAACCGGTCTTCGTGGTGTACCTTCTCAAGATGCCATTCGGCAACCTGATTTTGGGTCCAGATTATTTTTGAATGGAAGTGGGCAACACCAGCCCTGCAACTCTCCTGAGAACCAGTGCTCCTCCCTTCTTGCTGTGCAGGGCTCTCGGAAAACCTCAGCTCGTCAAATAATCCGCGCGGCCTCTCATACTCCTCCGGCATCTCGGTCTTGTTTGGTCGGAACGCCTCTTTTTATATGAAGCAGGGTGAGCTCCAACAAACCTTGAAGCAGATTATGGCTAGCTGTGTGCCTCTTATGGTGAATCGCTCTCTCCTGGGGTTCGTGCTATGGGACATTTGCATTGACCAATGTGAAGCAGTCTTTCTCTTCGAAACCTTCAGTTCGACATAAAAGTTGGTTTGTAGGGTGTCCATCAGTGTTCCGCAGACTCATCTCCATTGTAACTGAACGGGTGGGTTATTGAGTGACTGCGGCCTCTTGCAATTCTCGCGCTTCCTATTTCGAATTTGCGATCCGTTTTTGTGCTTTGCGTTTCTATGGCGGAAGTCGATCGCTCACTGGCTGCGATGGCGAAAGCATGTTCGTTAGAATTGGCGACCAGGTAAATGTCTTGCCCTCATGGCTTCGCCACGATCAGGAGAGGAACGCCCTCCAGAGCCGCACAAGGAGAGTTGCTGACCCCGCCAATCAAACCTCAAGGAGATATTCAAGTTCCATATTTCAAAGCACTCGGTGTTTCTATTTGTGCCTTGCATTGCCGATGGATTCCTTGTCAACGCACTGCAGAGCCCGCTCTCTCTGTCCTTGTTTCTTTCGCTGTCAAGTTGTGGAAGCAATCTTCCAGCAATGTTGTACTCCTCATATTGACTACAGGGTCAGCAAAAGCCTCCCTTCCTTTCTTCCGTCTGCGCTCTTTATGGAAGTGATTCGCACACTATCACCTTTTCTGACGTCCTCCAGGAAACCCTGACAAGGTCGAGCTTAGAAGAGACAAGTGCTGGCCGTTTCGTACAGTTCTTGGCAGCATCCGAACACCAAGAGAGATAAGCTGATGCACTTGCTACTTCAGGAGAGTGAGAGGAGCAACAAATTGAAAGATTCGGACCATTTGTCCTTATCCTGCAGCGGCGTTGGAGGGAGAAAGGAGAAACAAGCTTGCCGGTCTTCAGGAGGCGGTGGTCCATCATGCAGTGAGATGTGAGCTACTTTCTGCCCCGCCTCTCGCTTTTAACATTGTTAGCATTAAATTTTTTCGATAGTGACCACTTTTTAGTTGCACCAGGCTGACGGCGGGTTTTTAGTCAGGTTAGGCTGAACCGGCTCGCCACTTGGCAGCATTCTGATGCCCGAAGCGAGTAAGCATTTATTGTTGAACCTGGCACATATTCAGTGTTTTCCGACACTCTGGGCAGCCGTATAATCACCAAATCGTGACGTGACTACAGGAGGGTGCCAAGAGGTTTTCGGATTTTTTCGAGGTCAATATATTCGCAACTTACACAGCCTGGAACGGTCTTAGGTCCTTGTTCGAATCAATCAGAAGGACCGACCTGTCGACTGTTGTTCAGAAGCACCCTCTGCGACGAGAGTCTGTAGGAGACTTCCGTACGTTCGTCTTGAACATCTTCTGGTAGTATTGGCAGGCTGATTAGAGCATTCCGCTCACTGAAAAGTAGATGTCGCAACAAGAACGGAGCTGTCAGGAAGCTTCCCAGGATCCCGCGAGTAAGTTAAGGCGCTTTCACGGTCTCGTATTGCCGTCGAGGGCACGAGAATCTGTTTTGCGGCACCCGCTATCTGTGTGAGTTTACGACCAACTTCGTGGTTGCTACGTAGACGGCACTTGGGAGCTCGTCCGAAAGTCTCTCGTTACAGCTTCGGAGAATGTTCAAATGCTGGCTGTCAGCGCCCGCACCGGCATATGTCACAGGAAACGAGGGCGTATCTGGATTCAAGTTAACTCCTTGCTTTGGCGCTCCGGATCCCTGGGACCTGTCGACGGAATTAAATGCGCGACTGCAGCAGCTAACACCCCAAATCCGGCTTGCCTGGAAGGTCATTTCTCTGTCTTCTGGCTCGCAGCGCCAAAAGTCAAGCGGCTCAGTGTCTTTCCCAGTTCAAGTGCATCAGTGACGGAACAAGCGGATGGTTGCAGCATGGGGTCCTCAGGTGCTTCCTGTGAATCGGCTTCCGAATCTGTTCCAGGACGCTCTGCTTCTTCTGCACTTCCGGGCGTCCGAAGGCACTGGTCCAGCCCAAGAACAAAGACGTTGTTTGCTGTTGGATCTCAAGTGGGGCCCGGCCCGCTGTCTTGAAGTTACAGTCTTCTCCCCCTTTGCAGTTAATGAAGTTGGTCTCTGGCACTTGCTCGGTGCTTACTGCAAAACATTGCGAGCGCTTAGATGAGTCTGAGCCCCTAACCTCTCCCCCCCTTTGCAGTTCCACCAAGCCTTCCAGCCATTGGTCTCCGGCACTTGCTCTGGTTATCGCTCTGAAACGAGGACGGTTGGATGCACGCTTCGAGCAGAACTCACTGACTTCTAGCCCCTCCACCTTTGCAGTTCCTGCTTCTCAAAAGCTGGTCTCCGGTGCATGCTCCGTCTCCCGCCGGAAGAACGTGATCGCAGCGGTGCTGCCGGACACCAGGGGGAAGGGCCTCCGACTGGGACGTACCTCGCCAGAGTGGCCGCACAGGGGTCTGCCGACTTTCCCTGAAGGTAAGCTGCACGCTACGCTCAAAAATTCGTTGAAGGCCACGTTCTTGCATCATGTAAAAACTTGAAGTGGAAGGTTCTGCAGTGGCTGCTCCCGTCTACTTGCGATAAAGACAGGCGTCGATGGTGGGAGATAAACAGTCTTTCTAATGGTCCCCAGACTTCTTGGGTGTGCTGTGCCGTCCTTGGTGCACACTCTGAGGCTCCATTTTTGCTGCCCAGGCACGGCCGCTCGTGGAAAGCGGTCCCAGACCGTGGCAGCTGCGAAGAAGCCAAACGTGGTCCTGTCAGAGAGCGAACAGGAGCTCTTAAGGCAGATGGGGCAGCTGTACGATAGCAAACAACAAGAAGTTCAGAAACAGATGGAGGACATGAAGAAGCAATTTGCGGATCAAAAGCAGTTACTGGGAAGCCTAGTAGAAGCAAGTGCGCGTCAGGAAGTGAGCAGGATTTTTGGGGAGAATTACGTAAAGCAACTACTGGCCCGCTCGCTCCAGGATCTGGCGCTCCTACTCCCGGAAGAGCGGTGCATAGGAGCGGCACACCCAGGCAAGTACTAATGGGGCCCCTGGAGCGGGCAACTCTTGTGAGTAAGGCCTTAATTGAGGCTGACGTACCAGCTCGGCTCCTGAACAGCATCCAGGAGGGTGCTGGAGAGTCTGGGTGGCTCTGTGCGGATGGGACATTGGATCGGAGGAAGCTAGGGAAATTCGTCGGGACCACTCCGGATGCAGCACTGCGGTCAACACTGGTTCGGCTGAAACGGGTCCTAGAGATGACGAGCGTAGACGATCGGGTTCGAGAGCTAGTACTCTGCGAGAGTGCAGGGATTCTCTGCTTGGTGGCCGCAGCCTTTCCGCACATCTACCTGACCGGGCAGCCAAAGACCTGTCCCAGCGATGAGTTAGAGATAGACTGCAAAGGTAGAATGGACATTGCGCGGGACGGATCCTTCGCATACATCGACCTCGGGGAGGTGAAGACGCGGCTCGATTATGCGACCGCGGTCCCACAATTGGGGTTACGGCTGGGAGCGTTGAAGTGGTTCGTCTGCAAGGCATGCGGAGCGGAGCTGGAGGGAGTGCGGCTGGTCGGCCGCCTGTTCGTCTTCGAGCAAGGGACCCAAGAGTTTGTGGATAACGCACAGCGAATGGAAGCTTCGGAAAAGTGGGGCTTCAGCCTGTACCTGCATAGGGTGTGAAATATGAAGAGAAAGTCTGGATATGACCTGTCATGGTTTAGTCCGCGCATCGACATATTGTCCCATTGTGAAACGCTTATGTAGGAGGACAGAATTGTATAAAAGAGGACAAAGGTGTACAGAGAAGTTGACATTGTGTGTGCACATCTAGCAACCTAGAACTTATCAACATTAAGTTCATAAATTTTGGGCTATCCGGATAGAGCTGATGAATTGCTTGCAAGTGCATGTACTTTGTAATTGCATCTGATCTGCAGTCAACTTTTACCTACATTGTGATGCGCGTGTACGAAGCAATTGTGTCTTCTTTGGCAATTTGCAATTTGCGCAAATAGAAGGTTTCAAATACCGGTGTGGACATGCAGACAACTTGCATGTTGAACTTCCATTCCGTCCGCAGCATCCCGCGGACGGATAGGCGTCTCCTAATTTGCACTATACTCGGTCCTCGATTTAGATGTCTTAATCTGCACATGTAAGCTCGGGGAAGTATCAAATTTCAAAAGCGAAAACGTTTTTTAGAGTACGCCAGCCGTAATATCTGCAGCTCTAAACTGCTAATAAATATGTGCACATGTGTTGCATGTAGATTGCAATTACTCGTTCAGCAAGAGCGTCGCTGCGGGGCTCCTCCCGAACACGCCCACCACCTTTGCCAAGCTCAAGGTGGGAGACGACCTCGTCGTGATCGATCTGCGCGGCAACAACTCACCCGCCTGCCTCGTAGCACCACCCACTACGTACGTAGATGGGGCAGGGGCGACCATGGGTTACGTGGCTGCCGGGACGGGCATCCCGCACATCGACGACCTGCCCCCTCTGCCGCAGTTCCTCATTGACTTGCTGCACCAGCGAGCGACGCCCCCTGCGGGAGGCGATCGGAGGGGCCCAGAGGCCAGAGCTCACGGGCCTGAGCGGCCCCCATCGGTTGAGCCCGACCTCGTCTCGCCTGAGCTGCAGGCAGAGGTGGTCAGCGAGCTCAGGAGGCTGCTGTGCGGTTGGGGGGATAACTCCTCTGTCTTCTCGGATGCGGTGGCCTCGTCTGTGGGGCCCGGGGTCCTGTACAAGTTCCGGAACGGGCCGCAGGGTCGAGCGGCCTGCCCCTACTTCCCAGCGGGAACGGGCAACCACGACTCGAACAACTTCGGGCTGTTGCGGCGAGGAGTGGAAATCAGCTACATCTGTCACGGCGAGAGATGCAAGACGGAGGCGCGGGCCAACAGCATCCGACGGGGAGCTCTGCCTTTTCCCGTGGCCGCCTCCTTTTCCGACAGCCAGCCCCTGAACAGCAAGCGGAACCGGCTCTACGTGGACCGGGAGCTGTTGCCGATGGCCTTCCTCCGAGAGAACCTGAACGTGTACAGCGGTGAGTGGCATTTTTGACTCATGCTTCTGCTGTCCTAGCATGCAGACAGGAGAGACAGGAGAGACACGTTTTTGGAAGGAGGCTCTGGCAGATTTCCGATCAAAAAGTCGGCCCCAATCATTGGGACAGGAGAAACGGGAGAGACACGTTTTTGGAAGGAGGGTCTGGCAGATTTCTGATCGGAAAGTCGGACCCAATCATTGGGACAGGAGAGACGGGAGAGACACGTTTTTGGTCGAACCCTCATGTGCCATTGATTTCGAATTCGGTGCCTTTTCGGCTTCAAACACGAGGGACGGGAGAGACACGTCTTTAGAGGAGGGTCTCATGTGCTTTTTCTCCACACCGTCTCGCAGGTGACGTGGGCGGGGCGACCATCATCGAGCGCATCTACCTCAGGAAGGGGCTCAAGTTCGTCTTCACTCCGAACGGGTGGTTCTACTGGAACGGGATCATCTGGGTCGCCGACGAGGGCGGCAGCCACATCCTACGAATCATGCGCGAGGAGTTGGTCAAAGTAGAGAAGGGCTACCTGGCCGAACGAGGATCGAACCTCGAGGCGCGGTCGGACGAGGCATCGATGGAGAGCGACGACGAGAGCCTGACGGACTCGGGTACCGCCGGTACCGGGGGAAGCGGCAAGAAGAAAGAGCCTAAGATCGTCAACTTCAACTTCAACGCGAAGATGTCGAACGTACTCACCACCTGCAAGGACCTGTTCTTCAACGCGGGCTTCGAGGGAAAGCTGGACTTCAACCGGGACTTCAGGGCCGCTCAGAACGGGGTCATCGACCTCAAGACCGGGGGGCTTCCAGCCCCACCACCCGCGGGTGAGCGCGACTAATCGTCTTGCCTTTTGCACGCTCGAACTCTCTATGTGTTTCTGGTCGCAACCTCCTTCGCTCTGCCGCAGTCTGTCTGGAGCGCTCGCCGGTATAGGCCCTTTCTCTCATCGACTCTCTTCGTTTTCCTGCAGTTCTTGCACAGCAAGTACATGAGCTGGTCTTACCCCTCGACGGGGCTAGTCACACCGTTGGACGGCCTCCTCCGTGTGCTTCGGGACATCATGCATGCGGAGGCGCCCGACGGCCAAGAAGCGATGGATCATCTGCAGTGCCTCCTCGGCTACGGGCTGACGGGGCATACCAGCAGCCAGGTAGGTCGTCTCACCTATTATGGTTTCATTTAAAAACAATTCTACTAGGGAGTCTGACCGAAGTCCCGACATCTCCGAGTCAATGCTGCCTGCGATCTCCCCGTTGCACAATCCCCTGTCGAAACGCTCCCATCTTGCACTCGATGCCGATGGCCGAGAGGCGTTCGGATCATCTGCAATGCCTTTGGCAAAACGGGCTGGGAGAGGGACACCTATTATGGTTTCATTCAAAAACAAGTCTACTAGAGGATTCTCCCCGTCGCATCCAACCACTGACTCGTTCGGACCTGCAGGTATTGGGGATCTTGTACGGCGAGGGAAGCGCAGGCAAGAGCGTCCTCATGGCCCTGCTGAGACTGCTCCTCGGAAGGTTCTACAAGGACATGAGCAAGGACATCGTCGTGAGCGCGAGGGGGCAGAGGGCGGCGGCGAAGGGCGCGGCATCGCCCATGGAAGCAGGTGAGGAGCTCATCTTGCAAAGATTCTAGAATATGAGCCGGGGCCGAGTACGAAAAACATGTCTCTCCCGTTTCTCCCGTCGGTTCCTCTGCCGGTCAAAGGTGCGTATCAGCTACAAGCCCAATGACTTTCCTGTTGAGGTTTGCAAGACTGAGCTCCTTTCAAATGCACTGCAGGTCTGAAGGGGATCCTGATGGCGGGCATCAAAGAGACGAACGTCACCGACACCCTGGACGAGGGCGGGGTCAAAAAGCTCACGGGTACGGAGGTGGTCACGGGGCGGCCCCTGTTCAAGGACTTTATCACCTTCAATGCGATGATGCTGGTGAGGCACTTGGGGATCGACTTGCTTTCTCTCGAACTTTCTGACTCTGAATGCCCCGAGGCCCCGAGGGAAGAGGAGAGAGCGACGCACGCGAAGAAAGGCGTCTGATTGCTCGATCTTTTCACCGCATGCGAACAAAGCTCTTGCTTTCGAGTCCGATCTCCTCTTCCTCCGATCCCCTGCAGCTCATCCTCTGTACGAACCACCTTCCACAGACCGAGAAGGCTTGGTCGATCGCTCTCCAAAGGCGGCTCCAGCTGGTCTGCTTCCCGAAGCGCTACTTCTCGATCAACGAGGATGGCTACGACTCGACGAACCCCCTCCACGGAGTGGTAGACACCAAGCTTGTCGCGGGGCTGAGCGACGCTCCGCACATGGAGCAGTTCCTGGTCCGGCTCGTGCAAGGGGCCGTCCTGTGGTACGCGAACGGAGAGCGGCTGCTCCCGATGCCCGCTCGCAGCATCGCAGCATTGGATGCCTACCAAGTCGACAACGACCCCTTCGCGGCGTTCCTGGAGTGGAGCTGCGACTTGGGGCCGAACCTGTTCATGCCGACTGTGGCGGGGATGGAGGCGTACAACAACAGGGCACGCCTGGTGGACGGGCAGCCCGCGGCTTACACGTTCGACTTGGTGGGGACGAAGAAGTTCAAGGAACTGATGGCCAGCAGAGCTCAGTTCCGGGGACCGGCAAAGACGAACGTCCTGGGGCTCGGCACGATAGCGGGTGTCACGGAGCGCGGATACCGGGGACTAGCCCTGAAACAGCCACTGCTGGTCGCGCCCGGTAGTCACCCGGCATAGACGGGAGTCTAGTCAGCTTCTCAAAGGTCGCATATGTTTGAGGACTCGTGAGATCTCATGTACATATTTGTACATTCAATGAGAACAGAAGCAAGTCGTGTCATGACGTCGCCGATCGCACATCTGCGCATCTATTTGATACATGCAGCGTGCACATGCTCCATATTGCAATATCGTTTTTCGTTCCTCCGTCGTTTGGACTGCTGGCTTTAAAAAGCTATTGAGAAACCACCCCAAAAAACATGTCTCTCCTTGGATCACGTCTGCCCCCCGAATTTAGTATGCATCATGAGTGAGATTTCTGAGCCGGACCTTGCCTCCAAAAATATGTCTCTCCCGTCTTTCGTGTCCCCAATGATTGGCCAGGATTTCTGAGCTAGACCTTGCCTCCAAAAACATGTCTCTCCCGTCTTTCGTGTCCCCAATGATTGGCAAAGAATTAGAGCCGGGCCTTGCTCCAATAAACCTGTCTCTCCTGCCTCTCCTGTCCGCCAATGATTGGCAAAGATTTCTCAACCTAGCCGGGCCTTGCTCCAATAAACGTGTCTCTCTTGTCTCTTCTGTCGGCCAATGATTGGCAAAGATTTCTAACCTAGCCGGGCCTTGCTCCAATAAACGTGTCTCTCTTGTCTCTCATGTCGGCCAATGATTGGCAAAGATTTTTGAACCGAGATGGGCCTTCCTTCCAAAAACTTGTCTCTCCTGTTTCTCCTGTCCGCCAATGATTGGCAAAGATTTCCTGCACAAGCCGGGCCTTGCTCCCAATAAACGTGTCTCTCCTGTCTCTCCTGTCGGCCAATGATTGGCAAAGATTTCTAACCTAGCGGGGCCTTGCTCCAATAAACGTGTCTCTCCTGTCTCTCCTGTCGGCCAATCATTGGCAAAGATTTTTGTGGAAGTGCTTCATATTAAAAAGGGCGTCTCTCCCGACACTCCTGTCCTCAATGATTTTCAATCAACATGTAAC